CAGATAGACATTCCTCTGGTATTCCCTGCTTTCAGCCAAGATCCATCTAACATCAGCTAAAATATCCCTAGTACCACGACCTCTTTTAAACCCAGCCTGGACTTGTGGTAGTTCTCTGTTGATGTGCTGTTACAGTCGCTTTTGGATTATGTTCAGTAAAATCTTGCTTGCATGTGAAATCAGTGAGATTGTTCTCTAGTTTCCACATTCTGTTGGGTCACCTTTCTTTCGGATAGGAACAAATATAGATCTCTTCCAGTCAGTTGGCCAAGTGGTTGTTCTCTAGATTTCTTGGCACTACTTGGTGAGCACATCCAGGGCAGCATCTGTTAACTGAAATATGTCAATTGGTATAACATCTATTCCTGGAGCCTTATTTTATATTAGTTTAAATAATTATAGTTAGTGTATATAGTACTAGAGAATACAGGACCAGATAATGATTTAAAAGTACTTACCATTGTATGTTACACAGAACAAGCAAAATATTAAGCTATTTTAAAAAGAAATAATAAACATATTATAGAAATATATTCTCTTTATTTTGTTATATAGTTAGAATAATCTTATATCCTAAAATTTCATGCTTTTGTAGCATTTTCTGCTAAGAATTTTAGAGTTTTAAGGTAATATCACAAGAAAAATCCAAATCAACATACATACTGATAATAGAAATGAATTTTAATTAAAATTGTACTTAAAATTTTTCATAAACTCCAAAATCCATGCTGCACAGTGGAGTGGACTTGGGGGGAGGTATTGTATAACAATGAAATAATTTTTCTTTTAATTTTCAAAGAGAAGAGCTAATTGGGGGGTGAGGGGAGGACAGGGAGAAGCAACAAGGAATGAATGGAAACCCAAAATCTCTGTAAAATTTCATTAAAATTAATAAAAAAGAATGCTTATATTAAAAAATATGAAAATAATGCCAATTTCTATAGAAATAATAATTTCTAGAAGCTTCACTATGCAAAGATAATTAGGTGGGTAAAGGGAAACAATTTTTAAAAAGGGAAACAAAATATTTTTATCTCATCAGAAGTCACTGTGTGCAGTAAGGAACTTTGATCATCTTAGTAAGAAATAACGTTAAAGCCTATTTATTTGATAGCATTAAGACAAGATATTGTTAATAACAAAAAGGACCTAAAAAGTAATTGTTTCTTGATTTGGTCGAGTATAATAAAAGTATCTATTTTATTTCACATTGTTATTTGTTTTGCTGTGAAATTTAAAATCTACATAATATGGTGTTGTTATATGCCATCAAGTTGCCTGTGACTCCTAGCAAACCCATATACAACAGTCCTAAACCCTGCTCTATCCTGTGCCAATCTTATTTATTGTCTCTGACATACTTACCTCCATTACCACAGTCACTGAATCAATATATCTCATCAGGCATCTTCCTCTCTTGTGCTGTCCCTCCACCCTCCCAAGCATAATGTCCCTCTCCAAGAACTGGTCACTCCTTGAAACATGTCCCAAGTATATCAGATGAAGCTTCAAAATCCTTGCCTCCAAGGAGCAGTCTGGTCTTACCCACTCTAGGATGAACCAGCTTGTTCTCCTTGCAGTCCATGGTATAATCAGTACTCTTCTACAGGATCATAGCTGAAAGGCATCAATTCTCCTTCGGTCATCCCTAGTCATTGTCCAGCTTTCTTATGCATAGCAAGTAATTGCAAAGCGTATGGCCTGGATCAGACGCACCTTACTCTCCAGCCTGACATTGTTGCTCTTCAGTACTCTGGAGAGGTCTCTGACAGGAGACTTTCTCGATGCAATTTGTCTTTTAATTTCTTGGTTGCTGGTACCCAGAGTGCTGACTGTGGAGCCAAGCAAACTAAAGCTGTTAACAATCACAATCTCTTCACCATTTATCATGATGCTGCCAAGCAGTCCAGTGGTGAGAATCTTTGTTTCCTTGATGCTGAGCTTCAATTCATATTGAAGGCTGCAGAAAGCGCTTCAGGTCCTCCTCCGTTTCAGCAAGCAGGGTTGTCTCATCTTCATAATGCAGATTGTTAATGTCTTCCTCCAATCCTGATGCCACATTTCTCCTCATAGAGCCTAGCCTCCTGGATAATCTATTCTGCATCTAGATTTAAAAGAGATGAAGATAGGATATAACCCTTGTATACAGCCTTCCCAATTTTGAACCATGCAATGTTTCCTTGCTCTGTTCAGACGACTGCCTCCTGGTCCAAGCATAGGTTTCACATAAGCACAATCAAGTGTTCTGGGATTCTCATTCTACTCAGATACAGTTTATTGTGATCCACACAATGAAATGCCTTTGCATAGTCAATGAAACACAGATAGATCTTCCTCTGGTACCCTTATCTTTTAGCCAGATCCATCTAACGGCTATAATATCCCTAATACCACAGCCTCTTCTAAACCTAGCCTGCATTTCAGACAGTTCTCTGCTGATGTGATGTTCCACTGGTTTCTAGATAATCTTCAGCACAATCTTTCTTGCATGTGGTATCAATAATATTGTTTGATAAATTCCACACTCTTTTGGGTCACTTTTCTTTGGAATGGGAATAAACATAGATCTCTTCCAGTCAGTTGGAGAGGTGGCTGTCCTCCAGATTTCTTGGCACAACTTGGTGAGCACATCCAGAGCAGTGTCTTTGTTGAAATATGTCAATTGGTATGCTGTCAATTCCTAGGGCCTTTTTTTCCCCAGTTCTCTTAGAGCAGCTTGAACTTTTTCCTTCATCACCACAAGCTCTTGCTCATATGCTGTTTCATGCAATTTTTCTGTATCCGCCAATTTCTTCTGGTACAATGACTCTGTATATTCTTTGCATCTTCTTTTAATGCTTCCTGGATCATTTAATATTCTGCCCAAACTATCCTTAGATAGATATCAGGAAAAAAATATTTGGAACTGCATTAAATAGCTTATGCATTTGTTATGTGCTATCAGATTGACTATGATTCATAGCATATGAACCTTGTTCTATCTTGTGCCATCCTCACCATCTGTGATAAACTTGAGATCTTTATTTTGCCATCAGGTAAATGCTGACCTTCCACTTTTCTAAGCATAATGTCTTTCTCTAAGGACTGGCCCCTCTAACAACATGTCTCACCTGCACTTAGTCTTAACAAATCACACAGCTGGCACTGATACAGTAGTAAGCATCTGTAAACTGAAGAAGGGAGTGCTTTCTTAATCATGTCCTTCACTGGCTTTAATAGGAATCTCCAGAATGTTCTGAATGGCATTTTAGAGCAGGATTTTCCCATATATCATGTATTTCACCTGGTCACTGCTTGGAAAATATTGAATGAAAAATCCAAGAAGAGATCCAGTTGCCACACCGATTACCACCTCCAAAACTCCTCTGAGAACATTAAAAATTGTAGAGCCTGAAAATCACAAAAAGAAAAACATAGACAGTATTCTTAATCTTTAAAAACATAAACGTTACTTCTACAATCATCTAACTAATAACAACCATATGTTGTTGTTAGGTGGCGCTGAGTTGAGTATAACTTACAGTGATCGTAAAGTAACAAACTTAACTCCTGTCCTATGCAGTGCCATCCTCATCATCTAATGGCCTAAGCCCACAGCTGTAGTCACTGTGTTAATCAATCTCACTGAAGATCTTTTTCTATTTCACTGATCCTCTACCTTTACAAGCATCATGCCTTCTTCCAAATAACAGCCTCTCCTAGAAACATGCCCGAAATATGTGAGGCGAAGCTTTCACCATCTTTGCATCCAAGATGCACTCTGGCCTCACTCTTTCCAAGGTATGTATGTATGTATGTACATACGTACGTATGTATGCATGTATATATATGTGTGTGGGATTTTTTAGATTGTTCTTTTATATTGGTTTGCTTACAAAGTTCGTACACATTGTGTTTCACACTATTCATCATTCACATTCATAAAATCATTCCTATTCACTATGTTTTATCAAATTAATTACCTATGCCCACCATTACCTTGTCTTTTCAGGTCCCCACTGGATCTTTCCCATTTCCTTTACCCTCCCATGGGCTAGTCAATGCTCTTCTCCAATACCACAACTCAAAGCATAAATTCTTCTGTCATCCTTATTTATTGACTAGTTCTTAAATGCACAGCAACTGACTGAAAATGACCATGGCTTGAATCAGGTGCATCTTAATCTTCAAACTGACATCACTGCTCCTCAGTAACCTGGAGAGCTCCCAGAAAACAGATTTGCCCAATGCTATATACTTCCCGATCTGACTGCTGGTACCAGAGGTGTTAATTTATGTCTCCAGAGTATAAGAAAGCTGTGAACACACTGGTTTACCTGTGGAAAATGCCATGCCTAAGCACGTGTTGAAGCCAGTGATGGCTAGAATGTCATCAAAGCTGCCAGCAGCCATGAGTAAGGTTGGGACACCCTTTTCAACGCCATAACCTCCTCGCTGCAAAAGGAGCATTGAAGGCACCACAACAGCTGGAGACACCGCTCCTAAAACAAAACTAAGCAGGCAGTACTTTAAACATTTATGATAGTATATAATTTTTTTGTTTT